AAGGAGCAGCAGAAGAGGAGACTGCAGTATCTCATTTATTCACTAAGTCTTTCATGCATCTGCAAATTCCCCCTCCCTTTCATTTTCTTGTAATTTTTCTTGTCTCTCTGGAAATCTTAGAAGGAAGCTGTACATGAGCTTTCCCCCAACACAGAGATAAGATGATTTATGAGAGGGAAGGTTGCCTTCTCTAAGAGTGAAACCTTTTGCTAGGTAAGCTCAGGAGAACAAGAGAGAAAGAAAAAGCTCATTTGTAGGTGACCTGAAACCTATCTAGGAAAGAGAGTTTAGATTTCCTGCCTGAGTTGATAAATAACATAACTTCAGTGGGCTTTAGGTTAGTCCTTAGTCTGTATTTAGCTCATTTAACAGAATTGGAAAGGTCTCATAAAAGCAATAATAACTGAATTCTAGAAAGACCTCTGTAGTAACTGTAAATATTTCAAGGGGTGTGCAAGCAACAAATTTGTCATTATTCATTTCGTTTTATGAAATCTCTCTACCATAATGCCCTGCAAGTAAATACAATGCTGATCTTCCAAACCAGAACATTCTTCAAACATTTCCCATCTTGCACTTTTGTTAAATACTTGCCACTTGTAAAAATGTCATAGTATAAAAAGAAAAGCTTTTTTTTCCATCTAAATATCTAATCTATACAATAAGTTTTCGATGAATAGGAGTTTTGTGTTTTGGTTTGGTTTGGTTTTTTCCCGAAGAAAGAATAACTAAGTCGTATTGTTGCTATTTTCTAACTGGTTTTGCTGATAAACATTAATTTATTCCTCCTCTCCTGCTTTTTGCTGTCAGAGATTAAACAGATATACAGGAGATGGCAGAAGCGGCACACAAAATTTGGATGGTGTGCTTGACATACTTTAAAACACTTGGTGGAGCAGATGAGAGTTTAAAGAGAGTACCCTAATTAGCATTAGTCAGGGACAGATACAAAAGAAGTTTGAAAACTGGAAACAGAGGACATCATTAGGAAACTCGGGCTAAAGAAATGGAACTCTAACTCTCAGCAGGACGAAATTCCCACAGAAGCCAAAATCTCCATTGCAGCATGCACAAAGTTTTAATATTAACATGTAAAAAAACCCATATGACATCACTCTTTCCAAACTCAGTTGTAACAACCTTTTTTAGAACAATTAGGCTTTCAACAGAACAGCCATGGAAACACAATTATCTTGCTTCTTTTGAAGAAAGAGCTGGCATTGCTGCTGCACCCTTGAGACCAACTTAGTCTGATATTTTGATCCCATGCTGCATATTCCTGAAACTGACCCTTGCTTTCCCTGGAAAACTGCAGATAATACCTCTGGGAATGCAATGGTCAACTGGAAATTTACCATAAGCATTATGGGCACTGTTTCAAATAGCAGGAGGGGTGTTATTTTAAAAACACTAACAGAATACCTCATAGCAGAGTAGACAGTTTAGGACAGAGAAATCCATGGGGTTTTTTTGACAGATAATGAACCAAAATCTGTATATAAACAAAAAAAAACCATCTAAGGATACACAGGAGATGGCAAGCAGCTTGTACAAGGAGGGAAGTGGGAATCTCATGCAAAGTCCATGGTAATGTTTCAAGTAAATTAGGGATGGCAGTTAAGGATAATAAGGTCACATTCAAACCTAATGTATTATGCAAAAACAGTCCAGCGAAATAAATTCCTAGCAGATCCATGGCCATAGCCAAAAAATGTGCTATTAAGTGAACTTTAAAGTAATTTAAATATCTGCAGTTTTATTGCAAATTAAAACACAAATGTTTGTGTAAAAACCTACATATTACCAACATTCTTAGCTGGCTAACTTAGATGCCTTCCAAGGCTTTTGGGCAGTGAAGTTCAACAGTGCATGCAAAAAACCAGATTTCTTGAACACCAGTGCCAGCACAATTTTATTCAGAAACAACATTTGCTTCCTTTCTTTTGTTATAATAGAAAATAAGAAACTTCTCTAATTTTTCTATTATTTCTCTGGTATCTGTGTTCCTGTTTCATAAGGAAACCAACTTGTTTGTTGACGGGTTTGGTGTGTGCTTCACTTCTTTGTCATCAGTCAGTGAATCAGTAATTGGCAAATATATTTGGTCTGAAAAGTCTGACTTTCTTTCAGGAAGTATTCAGCTAATAACTCCTTCAAAACTAACCAGGTGACCACATGATTATTTCACAGGACAGTGGGTAATCACTGAAATCAACCTTTGAAGCTCCTGTTGAATTCTATTGACTCAAATTGGTTTCCAAATCCATACTATTGTGCATAACTCTCCCTTCAAGTTTGCTTTTCCCCTGCAGACCTTCCAGAGAAGCACCCTTACTTTTGATCTAAAAGCTGTTTAAGAGGTAATTGTGGTATTCTTACAAATACTTATGAGACTGGATGACTTGATGCCAAGCATATTTTGATAGGATACTGTCATGGTTTGCTTATTTATAAAGTACATAGAACTCCTACTGTTGTTTCAAATATACAACAGGTTTAAAGGCAATGAAAGAAATTTAACCAGAAAAATAAAGGGCCTCAAATGTATTTGGGAGATACACATAGGAGTGTAAAACCCATATAAAATATAATGAGAATATGCCTAAGGGGCAGTTTCATGCTTATTCATGCAACGTGTTTCCTTCCCTATCCATCCCTTTAGGTATGGTACAACAACTGGTTAGCACAATGGTTATGTTTCAGAATGCTCATTTTTGTCATTAAAAACATTAATGCCACCTTGATTTCTGTTGAAGCTAATGACTTTCTGTGACTCATTGTGGTTGTGTCAAAGCAGAAATAACATGGATTAATCCTTTCATCTAATCTGACAGTCAACAGCTCTTTGTTTGCTCTACCAGCCACCACAGTCCTCAGCCTTGCTCATAAATCTTTTGTTCTTGAACATGTATCTGTTTTCCAGGCATCATTTTTCAGCAGATGTCTGCAAGGGCTCAGTTGTCCCTGAAACTTCAGTTCTTATCTGTTTTTCCTTCAAATACCCATTCTTCTTCAGCTCTATCCCTACTTTTCAGAACATATGGAAATTGAAGACGTATCAGGTGATACAAAAGTGTGACTAGCTTATATCTATTCAATGTTAACATACAGCTCTAAATTTTTGGTTACCATCTATTGATGCCTCAGTTTTCATCACAGCCCTTACTTCATTGTGTTACTTATCACAGTGCCCTTTCCTGTTATTGCTCTGTTTTGTGGGTCCTCCAGCACGTCAGCTTAGCTTCAAATAATGCTACTTATGAAATATCATTCTTTATTTGATTAAACACTGTGTAATCAAAACCACAGGCTTTGGATAAAATTAATCATATGATGATTGACTTCATTTTTTTAGTAGAAATTACTTAATAGGAAATAAGTAATTTTCATAAAGTGAGTCACATAAATCAGGAAACTAGTTCACTAAATAGCCAGTGAGAAAGCAGTATCTGCAAGACAGCTTGCAAAGAAATAAAGAATTTGGTACATACCACATGGGGAATTTCAAGACTCAGGTCTGAATGGGAGGGTCTAAAACTCTTGGTAGGGGAGTGTGGTTATACAGAATAAAACATCTCACTTTCTGTCAGAAATGTCTCAGATAAAAACATTAGAAAAAAAATGATCTGTTGATTAATCCTTATCATGTTTCTTCTAATAATGCATTTCTGACATCTCCGACTTTCTTTGAAATGTTGTATGATGTTCCATATTCTCTCCCGTAATGTACTTTGTGAACCTTTGGTACTAATCTCTTTGTTACCATGGAAGCTGAAGGCCATAGAAACCCATTCTTCTTAATCATGCCCTTTTTCTCATGTCATTTCAGACATCTTGATCACAGAGAGGGTTGGTTTTACACTTAAAGTTACCAGTAGATTAATACCAACTAGTTTTTTCTAGCTTTTATTAGTTAGTAGAATATAAGCTATCAGAAAAAATAGAGATTGCTGGGTCAGATCTATCAACTTGCCATTTGGATGGCAAATTCTGCAATGAAACCTGGAGAATGAAAATAATCAACATATTAGTATATTCATAATGCATCAAAAAAATCTTTGGCTCTGCCAGCTGCTAACATCCTAAACTCTTCTGTCTGAGATGTAGCACCCCAGACTAGACTAGGAGGGAGAGTATGAGCATACTATGTTGACTATGGACTGCTAATAGCCAGTACTCTTTCTAACTGCTGGGGCACATGGGAGCTCTCTCTCAAGTATTTTCTTTTGGGTAAAATCTAGGCTGTCAGGGGCTGAAGTTAGTCTGGTTTCCCAAACCTCTTCCATAAAGTACTACAAAAATAAATTATATTTCCCATATTATTTGAGCCCTCTCAGAAGGTCTTTGGGAGTTCAGGTGAGATTTATCTGGATTTAGCACAACTTCTGATAGTCTGCTGGAATCATAACCACCAAACTCCCATGACACTTCAGCATGGAATGACATTTGGAGAGAGAATAAATACCTCAAACCATATGGCAACCAGATTGAAGGAGATACTAGCAACAAAAACATATTGCTCTCATATTTCCCAAACAATGGCAACTAATTGCATTTTGTTGGTCAGCAGTCCGAATTCCTTGAGCTCTCCTTGCTCATATATTACATCCATACAACCCCAAAACCCCCACCTGACAGCATAAAACCGTATTTCTACAAGGCACTGGAGCACAGCCCTCACTGGTGCTAGGTACTAGCTGTGAAATAAAGATAACCAAAAATTCAGCATGAGCTTTCCCATGCACTTTGAAGTTGGGGTAGGAAAACTAAAAATAACTAACCCATGATTTTTTCTCTTCTGAGGACAGAAGGGCATATCTGTTGTTAAATGCTTGGATATGATGCACAAGCACACTATGCAAGTACCAAAATAGCATACAAGTTTCAAATCCTGACCTGCATGCACGAAGTTTGCTTGCATTCATTATGAATTGAATACTCTGTTTCCTGTGAGATTTAAATCACTTCAGGAAGTATTTTATAGACACAAATAGCAGTTAGGTATCAAATTTATTAAAAAATCATTGGGAATCGTGTTTTTTCTGTCTATCTGAATATTTTGAATATTCCTTTTTTTTTCCCATGTCTGTAACAGTATGTTAAAACTTTATGCTGAAGAACAGCATAAGAAATGGTAGCAAAAATAGGATGGAAGTACCTCTTCAAATCTGAACTAAGCTAGAACTTCAGTTACATGATATATGCAATACTTATTTAACAAATTTATTGTATTAATGTACTAATAAAATCCTTCCATGCTATAATTTTTAATAATTACAGAATAAATTACTGAAAAAAAGAATCTCTGATAACTAATTTTTAATTACTTTATGTGACAATTGTCTAATAGAAGATGTTCTGAGCTAGTTTGTATGTCTGCTTAGATATTCAAGGGAAATCAACAGCTAACTCAATACATTAGATTTTAGTATGTAGGTTAAAGGCCCTCATGAAAAATCCTTTGCCTATGGGGAAAATAACTGACTTGTATTTTTTGATTAACTAACATAAAACCAAAAAAATTTTAGCTGCAGAAAGGATAATGCTAGTCACTTGAGCTTCCCACTCACTTTACTCTCTCATATTCTTTTGCCTGCTGCTTTCCCCTGTTCTTTTTAAAAACTGTGCTTTAAAATAGTCTACTTCTAGCCAGATGTAATATTTGAAACCAGCACCAATAAGACACTGCAGGTTTGTTTCCATATGCAAAGGTGCTTTTCTTAGTATTGAGGTTATGCCAACGTGTCCAAGTATATTAATGACCACAGGCAAAAAACCCAACACTTTCCATAAAGAATCTAATTAATACACAACACATAACAAATTACGAGAAGCCAAAGTGTAAGGTTAAATAGCCTTAACATTAAATTCTTCTTTTTTTCCTTGATCATGGGCTATGTGGGGCACCTTATCTCCTTCTGTGATCAAGAGAGAGAAAAGAGCAACTGAGAGGTGTTCATAGTATGTGAAATTCATCATCTTCTGGAGGTGTCTTTGAGGTGATGTAGCTCAGAGGGGAAGTTTAACTTTTAGATGGCTGCAATGAGTCCAAATTAATCACACACTACTAAGCAGGCTGTGTACAGGAAATCCTAAGGGTTTCAGTGACAAGACTTAGTCTACCTAAATATAGACTAAACTTCACATGGCTGTTATAATTAGCATAAGAGGTGCTCAAAGTCAGGACTGATGTCTCAAAGAGACTTGAACACAGAGGTGCCTCACCTGAATGCCAAAGAGGCTTTGGTAGAGTAAGCCTTTACATGTTCAAAGGGCAGCCAACAGGGAAGCACTCCTGAAGGTACTTGCAGCAGTCCTCAGGGATTCAAACACATAATTCAAGAGGAATGTAGGAGACTTCAACTACTGTGGCAATGAACTGGCATTTCTCAAAAGAAGTGAAGAAAGACTGACACATAAATCCTGCCAATGCAGACCAGACACCTAACCTGGGCCTTGGACCTTGGGGCAACAGCTGGCCACTGGGACCAGCACTTTCCACCTGAATCAGAGCTGGGCTTGCTACTGCACATGAATGAAAATTGATACTACTGATTGGAGCTGCACTGGTTTCTCTTGGTGTAGCATGTCTGCTTCAAGCTTGCTTTTGTCTTTAGGCCTATATAGGTCTATAAATATTTTAATAGCTCTAATTCTGATAAGACCGAATTGAGTTTTTTACTGCCTTATGTTCTCCCTTGTATTTGCAGATAAAAAAGAATTTAACATGAAGCGTAGGAAAACACTTTTAAAATAAAAATAAAAATATTTTCCACCTTGACCTTAGTCTAGATATCTGAACGTGCAATAATCAGGAAATAACGCACCATTTGAATTTGAATGTTATACTACTAGTTCTTGGCAGGTCAGTAACCATGAGGTCTGTAATTAACACTTGCTCTCCTTCAGTAGCATGGGACTCTGCTGACTTTCATCAGAAGGTTTGTATGCTTGTTGCTTAGCAGGTGGTATTTTGTGTCACCACAGAATAAAAAGTACTCAGAGCATGACTTCTCCCACACCTATTGGTAGAAATGAATATTAAACATATTGCAAAGTAGCTTCAGTTTAGGGGTTTTTTTTAGCATTTGTTTGTTTTGTTTTGTTTTGTTGTTTGTTTGGTTTTTTTTGTTTTGTTTTTATAGCTGTCCAAAGCAGCTAAAATCATGCAGTTTGAGATAGTCCAGGCAGTTATTTCTAAGGCTGGTAGGTCTTTTTTTCAGAGAGACAACCTACTGAAATTCCTGGGCATATGAGAAAGAGGTCCTCCAGCTTTGGGATAAACAATCTGCATGTATGACTCTCGGCATGTTTCTTAAAAAATTCAACAATTTGCATCCACTTCAAATACATGTAATTGAAAATGCAACTTTCCTTCCACCTTTATATGAATTTTGGAACTAGGAAATGAGTGGGTCAAAGAACTCTTTATAAGTTTAGGTTACTCTAACATTATTGCAAGGTTGTGACTGACTTAGCCATTTAAATTGTTATCGTCCATTTCTACCATCGTACCCAAGAGAGCAACAGATATCTTAGTTAAAAAAAAAATCATCTTACAGTGAGATCTCATCTTACAAACATAAATGGTATCTTTTCTCATTGTGCTCATCTCTCCTGGAAATGGCTGGTGATACCTGCTGGTCATACATGTAGCTCTGATGCTGCTCCTTGATTTTCCACAACCTCAGCTGTAATTCTGCTTTATTCACTTGTAGCCATTCTGATGAGAACAGAACTTTCTTCTTAACTGAGCATGGGTCTTCAGAGACAACCCTGGCATGGACACTGTGCAACAGCTCTGGGTGCTTCACATCAACTCATTCCCAGTGGTGAGTAGTGTTGACCATTTAAAAGTTGACAGCAGTTAAACAGTTTTGCTCTTTGAACAAGGAAGGAGAAATCATGTCATGGATTGAAGTGACTGACCTAGTAACCTTATCCTGATGTCAAAAATGGAATATGGGAGATACTATTACTTTTCCTCTTCAAAAATAAATAGTATGAAAAGCAGAGCCCATAGACCCAGTGTCTAGTTCTCAGTGGTCTGATGGTCATGGGTGTAGTTTTGACCCAAACCATAAAGATAAAGAAGGGGAGTACCAGTCAGGCTGCATAGAAATACTTCATTCTTTACACTATGATCTATGTCAAAGTTGCTACACCGCTCTTATATAATCAGGATTTTCTTCTGCTGATCATCAATTTGTGGGTGAAGGCTCAAAGAGAGGCTTGTCTTTCCCCTGCTTATTGCTGTGAATTTTAAAAAAGAACACAACATGGATGCAGAAATTACTGTTTATGTGATTTTGTTCATACTTACAGGAATGTATATATTGTGAAAAATATCCATCATCGTGGTTGCACCTTGAATGTAAGAAATACTTAGAGATATTACGGCTGAAAGTGGGGTAGCTACCTGATATTCAGCCAGTGTAAGAGCAATGCTGAGATAAATGAGGTGAACAGTCACATGCTTTATAGAGACTCAGGTAAGAAATGATACAGATGAGAAAAACAGCACTGAGCTGGTGTCCTAAACATCTGTTATTTTTGCAGTTTTCACATGCCTTTGAGTCTCCTGCATGTACTTTCCTCTCTTTTGCCTTCAGGATGGCCCATAAAATTGGCTGCTTCAATGCCTTTGTGAAAGGATATGTGAAGTGCAGATGTATCTCTGATTTTTCTACTTGAAAACTCTAATTTTTCTCTTTTTCTTCTTCCTATTTGTTCTCTTGTAAGTCATATAGTTTTGTCCCGTTGTTTCCAACAAACTGAGATTCATAGTTGCCCCCAAAATCTTGTGACAAATAGTGAACTATCACTTCCTGCTCGCTTCCTCTAAATCTCTGCTGTTTGTGATTTTCTGAATCTTTATCACAATCTTTTTGTTGCCTTCTGCCAATGAGTTTTAATCTTTTTAGTAATTCTTCAAGTTCTCTCATATCTTCAGATATTATTGTTACCCTTTTTATTTATTTGGTTAATACAGATGGTCAGGATTGTACTGAATCATTAAAATGACTGTGAACCTTCACAAACTGCAGAAAATAATGAAATTTCTGTTTTGCTATCAGTTCTTATTAGTCCTGAAAATCAGATTACCAGTTTTTGATATTTATTGAGGACTTGACCTTCCTACACTTGACCTTTAGAATATAATCACTTTCCAGTTATTAATACTTCATATTTTGAAACAGAGTTCTATTGTGATTTCTTTTTTTCCATTTCTATTGGGATCTTTAGTCATCATTTGCTCAGATTCTTCTTCCAGCTGATATTATTTGGTGTTTCAGGAGAGATGGTGTTTATTGTGGTACTTTGAGAAGTACTCCCAGCATGTTTTGAAGGACTCAACTTAGTAAAGGACAAAATTCAGATTTCACTCCCTAGACACCACAATTCTGAGAAAAAAAACATTTGAGAATTATTTGAAGTGATTTAATTATTTGACTTCTTTGCTATCTTTTCAAATCCTCAAGAGGACCATTCAGATTATTTTGAAAGTGAACTGCATCTATTTTCTTGCAGCGTCAGTCCATTACATGTTAAAGTCTGAAACCTAATATGTGCTAATTTTACTTTTTTTTTTCCAGTAACTCTTATCTCTTCCTTCCTTATTTTAATGTATAAAATTGTAACTTTTTTTTTTTTTTGGATATGTATGTAAATATAAGACTTCTTGCTAAGAGCTGAAAAGATTTCACAATGGATGCAGAAGAAAGGAATGCCTGAAGTATGTCTTTTGGGTGGCTTGCTTTGCCTCTCACATGCTCACAAAGAGCTATACAATATCCAATGGAGAGAAATTATCCTTTGCACTATATTTATTAGGTTATATTTTAGTAACAATTATTTGTAAACCTACCCGCATATTTTCTTCATTTTTATAAACTGTTGAGGTGTATATGGTATATGGCACAATTGATAATTATGAATTTGTGATGAATTTTAATGGTTGTGGTACAGATCCTTAACTTTTGGCACTGCCATGAGCAGAATGCTGTACTCACAACCCCCTGCAGGTACAGCCTGCCAGTACAGCTTGATTCACCTACTGTATTGGTTCAGACAAGAGAAGTCTTGAAAGAACTAAATTGTGAATACAGATGTTGCAAGTAATCCCAAACATGCTGATGCTCAAACCTGACCTGCCTATATTAAAACTTCAGTTTTAATTTCCAAGACTTACATCCTGTATGGCTAGAAGGATAGGGAGGTGGGTTTTTGGATATAGTCTAGGTCATGCCAAGGTTGTAAGAAACTAAATTTGTGTCTGTATCATAACAAAGATCAAGATTTACTTAGTCTAGGTGATAAGTTGTCAACTCGTGCCCTAAGCCAGACAGGTGGAAAGTTTTGAAGCTTCTACCCTAGGTCTTTGCATCTCTCAAGGTTGTCTGTTATGTGAGCAAAGTCTTTCCTAATACCCATCATTTCAAAAACTTAGATCAGATAACTGCTCATTTGAGTAATGAATTAATAGGGGTCACTTTACCTTTCCCAGTACAAGCAGGTCCTGCTGCAAAAAAGGATGTTGTCCTGACCATTGTTTTTAAGAAAGAAGGGAAACACAGAGAAAATGGAGGCTTGTGAGCAGCAGGAGCTCAAAGAGGCATGGCTAAGTGGAGCCCTTTCTGCTAGACTACCTCTTCAAATCAGAAGTGTTACCATTTAATGTTCCTAAGTGTTCCTTGACAACAGCTATCTGCTGGAAGTTGGCCTTAGCTTGCTTGGAAGCTTTTGTGACCCTGAGATTGAAGTAATTTGGGATTCATGCCGTGATTTTTGCTAGACTGGGCCCCTACTGCTTTTTCTTTTTTTGGCTAAATGCCATCTACTTTGGTAACAGCTTCCATTGGATGAAGTTCACAGCAAAAAGTTGTTTTCTCAGTACCTAAGTGATACTGAGACCAGCACGCTGGTTTCCTTCGATAAAATTTCATATTGATAAACAATGAAACTATGTAGATAAAATTTTCTCGCTTGCTTCTGGTACTGTTCAGAATCTTTGTACTCAATAGCTGCAATCTGAAATTCCTAATCTACAGGAATCACTTTTCTAAAAACTTTTAAGGTATGCCCTAACGGAATGGTTCTCATATATATATCTACATAAACACTTTATGTATATATAAACACTATATACAATAATACTAATTTCCACTTTGCCTTACCCCAAGATCCCCAAAAGGACTTATTTATCTGGTTGCTGTAGCAGGATCAAAAGCCACCACATGTGTCTTCAGTCTACTGCAGTAGAACAGTTCAGAAACCAGTATGAGGAGAAATCTGGAATTAGCCAAGACAGGAAATTTCAAAGGCAGGCTGTCTGGGACATTTATTGGCCAGTCATCTGCTGATAGAAGGTACCTTCTGCACTCTGGGTTTATAGTGCTAAAAATATCTTCTTCTTCATAAAAATCCAAAACTTATTGTTGATGTTTTTTTTCCCAAAAAAAAGACTTACCCTCTTCCCAAGTAATATTTGAATGGCCATCATCCGAAGGGAGATTTCTCTTCTTTGCCCAGAAGTATTTACACTCACATTTTCCACTTCCCTGTTACAGTTGTTGCCACTTCTCCCTGTAGGGAACCAGGATCTGAGGAGAAGCACTAGCAGTGCAGAAGGAATTTGGAAGCGAGGGAATCAAGACTATAGGCAGGACCTTCGAATTTCAGCATTTTTGCTGGAGCACAGGCTTGGTAGGCACCTGAGGAAATATGAGGGCAGCAGTGGCTTCAGGGTACAAGGAAAGGTGACTCCATCAGCCCTTTCTGAGGAAATGTCCTCCTGTCTTCCAGTATAGTCCCTGGTCCAGACCAGCTCCTCTGGTGCTACTCATTCCAGTGCGCTCGGAGTGACAGTATTCTGCTGGTTTTGTCTCAAAGGAAACAGCCCTGACCTTGCCAAGAGGTCCCAGAGGCCCAGAAAGATGGTTTCAGTTTGTTTCTAATGGGAACTGCTAGGAGAAGAGGAAGGGGAAGCACTGTTCTTGTACTCTGGAAGAGCACAAAAGAAGGAAGATGATGAATAAAGGAGGGAAGAAACAGCATTCCCTGCCTTTGCCTATCCCCCAAACATAACCATAATCTTCTACAGAAATCTCTCTCTGAAACTATCCAGACTCCTCTCTCCTACCCAGACTTTTGGAGATGTCTGGAACCTTCTGACTTCCATCTTTGGCTCAGCATCCCACGCAGGTCTCCTCTGCCATCCTGCTTTAAGAGCCATCTGCCCTGTCAGTTCTCCTCTCCTCATCCAAAAATGCTCAAATCAAAAATGCCCAGCCCTCTCTTTGACCACCCACATGCAAACATGCTCCTTCCCATGCCCTTACTTAGTTCAGTCCTGTTACCTCCTCTCCACAAATTAATAACAACTTTCAAACTAGGAAGTGGCTTTGTAAGATATATATGCAACACTCGACTTTAATAACTTTAAAATTTACAAATAAATTTTAAACAGTATGTAAACTTTTGTTTCGTTTTATAAATCATGGTATAGATGTTATTTTGTACTCCATTCAGAAAAAGCCTCATAAAAATGTGAAGTGACTGAAGAAGAAGACAAAAAATATTATATAAATTGAGAGAGAAATGCAAAGAAACACTCTTACAGGTGAAAAACTTAATGTTATATTATTTTTTGTTGAACCAGAAATGAACTTCAAAGTCAGTTTAAACTAATTCTAATTAAATTTCCTATGTAATATGGTTGTCAATAAAATAATCACGTGCATCAGCGGGCTGTAGCTATTTTTTTCTTTCATCTCACTTTCCTTGTCTTTGGCATTTTGTAAAACAGGCATTTTTTTTTCCTGCAGGACTCAGAACCTATTGATTTTTCAAGTTACCTATGGAATTCTGCCTTGTGAGGTGCAAAATGAAAAGGGAAAATCACAAAACTTGATAAAATTCCCCATGGACCCCACTTTAATTAACTGTGTGTCCCTGAAGGATCCTCAAGACTGGAGAAAGGCATTTGTTAAACAAGGCAACACTTTCTATGGGAATGGAAAATAACTACTCTCTTAAACTTCCTACAAAAAACAAAAAAGCACTAGTTAGGCTGGTTGTATGAATTACATTATATAAGGTACATCTTTTCAGATGGAAAATTTGATGATTTTCAACTCTTATAATGTGGTACTGCTGTTAGTCAAATTATTTTTAATCTATTTTGGCAGCTTTATTAGCTTAGCTTGTAAAAGAGAAGTGTATTACACTAGTTTAGTCATGTCTGTGACCATGCTCAACTAATTGTATTTAGACATCCTGCTAGATCTTTTTGCATATAGTGCTCTTTAGTTATCATTTGAATTATGTCTATTGATCAATAAAAATCTGAATTTTTAACACCAGACTGCTTTCCAAAGTGCAATTTCACAGTCTATTCTGTAATACAGTTGTGAAAACATTCAGGACCCAACTGGCCAACAAGTCCTCCTTCAGATGCCAGTGTCCTACCTGATAGGCCTGAGTCCATTGCAAACTTCAGGTCACTGAGCACTCAAAAGCAAACTCCTAATGCAAAACAATCTCAAATCATGGATGAATTTTACAATTGACTTTTTTCAATAATAGAAGAAAAACATGTTGGAAGCTCTGTAAAGTGTGCTAAGATGCCAGTGAGTTCTTAAGCAACCAAATCAGAGTAAATATAAATAAAAAATATTGCATATCCAATTTAAACAATCTCTTTTCTATTGAAAGAATTAAATTAAAAAATATTTATAAAATGAATTTAATTATCTTGTCCTTTGGAAATAAGGAGCTAAGCATAAAGGATTTTACTGTGTTCTCACTTTGATGTGTTCTTGTAACTTAGAAGAAATTTCTAGCTTTGATGAAGTTGGACATAACTCCCACTCCCTTCAAAGTGGTTGGGACTTCATTCCGTGAGAGAGAAGAACTCAATCCTCTAGTTCTGCCAGACAATTGAAGCACTACATTTTTTCTATTATGAAAGAGGGTAATAAGTAAGAAATACTCTACTCCCACCTTCAGAAGCAGATTAAATGACATTTAGCATCCTTAAGACCAGTAGCCTAGTTGCAGAAATGACACAAAAATACCAGGCAGCTTGAATTCACCATAACTTCCAGGGCATGGTTCTCTGGAACGACTTTTTCACCTAAACCAGAAAACTGGATGATTGTTCAGCTCTTGTTCACGTATCTTTTGCTGCAAAAAATTAACTCTGTGCAAATGAAGTCTGATTTGTAACTAACCTCTTACATACAGTTAAGAGGAAGAGAAATGAAGGAGTTCTCATTAGAAAATCTCCACTAATATTGCTCACTGCTGGCTTGATAGTGAAAATACTATATTTTATCACAATTACTGTATTTGGTTTCTGTGGCAAGGTTTTGGTGACCATACAAGTGAAAATAAATGCTTATTGAGTAGATATTGAGATGTTGAATCTTTTATTTTGAGTCATAATCTTAAGCTGGAGATGATGTAGCATGGGAACAAGCTTTTTTTATATCAAATTAAATCTTTAGATGTTGATTAAAGGACCATAGAAATCAAAGAAAAAATAATGATCTACAGCATTTGAAAGACTGAATTATGTCACCAGAGAATGTCAGGCCTGAAAATCAATTATTAACTTGAGTAAATGACAAAAAAGTGTATCTGAATCTTTATTAATAGAAAACTAGAGGATGATAATATAATTAATACAGATCACCTAGCACTAAAGACCTCTGTATTGAAAGCATATCCTCTCAAACCACTGAATGTTAGTGCAATGGTGCTGGTTTAGTCCACTTGGACTTACATTAAAAAACTTAATTTCACTGCATGATGTTTTGATGAACAGGCTAAAAAAATGTGAAGCTGATGGGATATGTCCTAATTAGATACTTTAATTAGATACTTTGTTTAAATTGTAGTTTTAAAGGAAAACTTTTCATTATGTTTCTGCAGGGTATTCCAAGAACCATTTCTTTACTAAAGATTAGTGAACATTTTTGCTTGTCAGTTTGCTGTCTCTGTATAATAAGACTCATGGCCAGCATCTTTTATTTAGTATAGCATTATCAGATGTAGTGTCTCAGTATTTTTTGACTATTAAACTGTGATAACTAGTTTATGACCTAATTTTATTAAGTAATAAAGAGAATATGTCACTTGGTAGCCAGGGTGAGTGTGTGTGTAGGGGGAAGACAAGACAATTCCCCCACCTGCAAGTGCAAACTGCAAGGAGATCAAAGACCAGGCTCAGACCTGGCTACAGGGGCTTCCCTGGTAATCCCTGTGTTGGTTCTAAAACTCCTTATAAGCTCCTCTCTCCCTGTCATCTCCAGATTCTGGCACCATTTTGTGGAAGAAAACCAAAATAACCACTTTTAATTTGAAAGGAATAGGCTGTGGATGTTGGGAACTGAACTGCTACAGACCATACTGTTTGGAACCAGCTATCTTCTTGATTGACTTGTGTTAGGGATCAGTTAAACTTAGTGTCTGAAAGAAGCAGATTGTTTTCAGACTTTTTGGCTATATATGTGCTGCTAAATATAATATGCAAGGAGTTGTCCTTTGGTCCTGCATGCAAATGGCACATCATGGCTTGTGTTCTTAGAGCTAGACACTCTCCCTCCAGCCCAGTCAGTTTGTGCATGTGGCAGGGAATACACTAGCAGTTGTGCAGTAGGGGCAATCACACACTAATACCTGATATCATGTTCAGATCTATCTAATACTCTTGGCTCTGGATGCCGAGTAAGCAAAGCACACTAATGTAACCAAATACAGCTAAAATCCCCTTTAGTGGATCAATTAAAAGCATCATTGACACTCTTTGGAAACATGTGGGACTGTCAGACACTTAAGTAGCAATTCATGTTATAACTTTAAATAATGAATGCTGGTTAGTCAGAAGATGGTCTTATTTGTGGCAACAGATGGCCTTGCAAGGCACATTCAGTCACCTATACCTGTGCTAACAATCAAATGAGAAATCAGAAATGTTCAGGGAGACAACATTCTGTGTAAAATACAGACATTTTTTCTGAAAAAGATGAGACTCAAAGAAACCACACCCAAAAGGTGTTAATCTCTAAGGCAGCAGATCTAGTCTTGCAAGTTTTTGAGGCTAATGGAGTCTGTGATAACAGGCTACATCATGAATGGAATACAGGTCAAAACTCATAGCTTTGTTGAGGAAATCCAGAGTTAACATGTAGGCAAGGATTACAATTGCAGAGAAAGATAATCACCCAGTCTTGACTGAAGCTTGATTTTTGACTCAAGATCAACAGTGACAGATAAAGATACTGCAGTCAGAAGCAGGTTGAGGGTCATGAAAAATTAAAAATCTGAGTTCCCTATGGAAAGCTAGAGCACCGTATTCTGTCCAAAACATCATCCAAGTGTGAACACTGAAACCTTGTGCATCAGGTGGGAAGACATTAGGAGCACGATGGGAGCATGCGTCTCATGGTCAAAGAGGAGCACTGTTGGCTCCCAGGAATTCCTCATGGGACAGGTAAGAGCTGTCATGAAGTCAAGTGGTGTATATTTATTTTAAACTGGGCATATGTGCATGCCTGTTATATCAGAAATAGCAGGGCCAGTACTAAAGAGATACAAGGACCATTTAATTCTGAGTGGATTACCTAAGTTGTATATTAACCACACCTTCCCCATTCCTTCCTCTCCCATGCACATATGACATACAGTACTGTCCATAAAATGCTTAATAAAAAGGTCAAACTCTGCCTGTTGCTATGTAGAAGTACCACTCTCTTGAGCAAAAAGTGGATAAACAGGACTTCTTAAGCTTTGAGAAGAAAATGTACTAAATGTATTCTCACAGGGTAATTCATGTCCTTGCTAATATCTCTATTTTCATTTTATCTAGTTTTTTCGAATCCTCCATAAATCCCATAACTGAGTGATGGCTGTGTACATTTAAAACTCATCACTTAATGGGAAAAGTTCTTTTCACAGAAAGTCTAAAGAACTAAATGCATGCCTTTGTGCAAATGGGTTAGCTATAATTATAGTACCATTGGAAAAAAAAAAAAGAGACCAATACTGGATTAAATGGGTGTCAAGGTGTTGTCAAGTCATAGCTCTCAAGAAAAGGTAATGAATCAAAATAAGAAAAATTTGAGGAACTACCAACAGAATGGAAAATTTCTCAATGGAGATGGGAATGAGAAGAGTTTTATATAAAGGAATATATCTACATAATTTTGGATATTGATGTATTTTTCTTTATAGATGTTGGACCTTGGGCAAAAGAGGATCTGTGAAAGATCAGTGGCTTGCATTACAGTGACAAAGTTATGTTAATGATCCCCTCTGGTCTTCAACTCTGTATCACAGTGAAGCTATAGGGATCCACAGTACACATTTTTTCTCTCAGCATTCCTAAAGAGCACAAGCGTTGTGAATCTCTTTGGAAGTTAATACAACTTTGTTGACTGACTTAGAAAGAGAACTTAAGACCATGGTTCACCTCAGATTTGGGCTCATATTGTCACTAGGGCATTTCTTTACTTCTTTACAGTGACACTGTGTGGACAAGAGTATGAAAGAGAATAAAGTGTTAATCATAACTTTCTTGAGGCATGAATGAGTTGGAATTTTCACTGAGCAGTTACTAATTCTTAGTGTCCAAGTTTCACATTCGTGTAAAAGTTTGAAAGGGTGCCATGTCACATTTTGACTGTGAAATGAAAGACGATGTGCCTATACTATATACAGTGAGATATGTGGAAATTCTAAAAGCAAAGCATACAGAGAAGTTATGACTGTCACTTCTGAGGTTTACCATTATATGATGGCTTCCACTTGGATAAAATACGTATCTATATCTGCACTCATGCTTATTTATTTGCAGATATAGTGAGAACTGGTTGAGCACCCTGTAGCATATCAATGAAAACTCTTTGCTTCTGCAAGCTAGAACTAGTAAGACACACCTTGAGTGGCATGAGAGACTAGTAGGCGAGCAACGTGCCTTTCACAAATTAATATGCATGGCATAAGTCTGCAGTATGTTGAGGACAGTGTACATATGTCTTGAGGGTCAAGGTTCTGCTCAGGAAGCAAGTCTTAAAATTTGGAAATACAGTTTTGGGTAAGGCACCGTAATACAGACTATTCTTCATCTAATTGTCCTGAACGCGCTGGTTAATCATGTGTGGGAAGAGCTTCCAAGTAATTTGAAGAGTATCATTACGGAAAAAC